AGCTGGAAAGGAGTTCCACAAGTAAGAAGTGTGAGAACAGAAACTGTTAGCATAAAACTTATGGTTACATCTAACATTTCACTTAAATTCATAAAGTCTATGTACCATAGAAGAAAGTTCATCAGAACAATTACCATGAAAGTAATTACAGAAAAAGCACAGGGAAGCTACATTAGAGAAGCGGGGAAATTACTGAAGCCCAGATGCCAGGTCAGGACCAATAACATTGCAGATTAATCTTTGAATTTTATCAAGGATCTCTAAATAAATAGCAGAAGCACTAGACCAGATGTGGCAGCAATATTCAAAGCATGGATGAATGGTAGACTTATAAATATGTAAGATAGATTCTAGCTAGAAAAATTGTATAGTACAACACAATAAGCCAACTTTCCTAGCAGCAGACCTGGCAATTGATTCAATATAATTTTTCCCCTTCATGTTAATGGGAAATGTTAGTCCCAAAATTGCAATGAGTCATTCTCCTGGAGGTTAGCATCAGTCATGCTGATGGAAGGAAGAAAAGGTTCTCTCAAATAATTAATAGAGAGCAGTTTCATTTTGGAGGTGCTAAAATTAGCAAACCATTCCTTACCCCAGAACATAGATAATTTTTTAGATCAGCTGCCAATTTGATCTTATCAAACCAAGACAGGAGTAAATAGTTGTGTTATCAGCACAGATACAGATTTGAGAACTGATGCCATCATTAAGGTCATTGATGAAAATCAGGAACAACACAGATTAAAGTATAGATCCCTGTGGGATGCCTACATTAATGCAAAAGGATCTAGAAGAGTGGTGGTGGTGGTGGTGTTTGTGGTATAATGGTATGGGGAATATTTTCTCGACATACAGTGGGATTCTAGAGGCCAATAAAAAGTCATTTAAATGTTGCAGACTACCTAAATATTATGCCTGACCATGTGCCTTAATTTATGCCACTCCCAGCTGGACAATATCACAAATCAAAAATAATGGCAGATTAGCTCAGGAAACAAAGTAATGAGTTTTAAAGTGGTCTCTACAGTCAACAGTTCTTAATCCCATTGAAGGGTGCTGTGGAAAGAGAGATTCAAATCCTGGATGTGCACACAAGCAATCTAGAAGAATTACAGGATGCCATGATAACAGTATGAACCCAAATTTCAAAAGAGTGGTTCAAGGTCAAGAAGAACTGAGGTGATTCTAAAGGCAAAAGGGAGTCTAACCCAGTTCTAGAATAGTATATCTAATAAAGTGACCGGTAAGCATATATAAGTATAAAAGTTTTTTGGTCTGGAAATGTTATTATAGCTAATTTTTCTTGTTGACAAAGATTGCAGATATTACTATGATTGTTGTAAGGTTTTGGTTTTTTAAAATCTTTCAGTTTAAAAAATAGAAAAGATCCAATTGTAAATTGTAATTTTTATCATTTTATATGTGTATTGAGCACTTTTTAATACTACTGTTTCTTGGTCTAATTCAACTCTGACCATTAACTTTTTTTTATTATATATATATATGTGTGTGTGTGTGTGTGGCTGATACATCAGGATGACGATCAAGTGTAAGGGGAGTGCTGGGAGTTGATATATTTTTTGTGTGGGTTTGACCAAGCTCATGGGATGTGGTCGGTGCACATGTTGGTTGATCAAGGTCATGGTGGGGGGGGTGATTCATTGGTTGGTATGGCCGCAGTGATGACAGCAAAGGTTATGCCTTGTAGCGAGTCGCGTATGCCGAGGTGATGGTGGATGGTTGCTGATGTGACACATTGGTGTCAACATGGCATGGTTGTTAGGCTTGTTCCATAGAATGGTGATGACTGCAAAGGGAATGCCTTGTAACGAGTCGCGTATGCCGAGGTGATGGTGGATGGTTGCTGATGTGACACATTGGTGTCAACATGGCATGGTTGTTAGGCCTGTTCTATAGAACGGTGATGACTGCAAAGGGAATGCCTTGTAACGAGTCAGGTAAAGGTGGTGGGTTGCCAAGATGGTGTCGCTGGTATTTGCCTAGGGGACAGTGCTGTATTGAATTGGGTTTGCCAAGGTGAGAGCATTGGTGATGATGAACGCTTGTAGCTGGGTGGTGTTGAAATTGAGATGTTATCATGTTGAAGCTGGATAGCTGAGGTGGTTGGTCAAACCTAGGAGTGGTAACGGTCATTGAGAGGAGTGGCCATGTTGAAAGGGGTTGGTGGTAACAACAGCAGCAGCACACTGCCTGTTGGTCTTTAGCCTCAACTGCCAGAACATTACTGAAGACCTGCTTTTAAGTGGATCTGGTAGTCCCCAGGGGTATTTTCTTTTCTGGTGGGAATGTTGACCAGTAATTGACCAGTGTCACTTTTATTGTGGGGGCTTGCTTCATAGACTAGATGTGATAATGAATATTTTTTTTTATTTCATTCCTTGTTTTCATGGCTTTCACATCTGGCCAGCATGCAGAGAGAGATTTAATTGCAACAGAGTATAACATATATATATATATTTATATATAATAGCTGGTCATTTGTATTCAGGGAAACCTGTCTACTAGGGCGGCTAGCAAATCCCAACTGAAGATGTCTGCTCAGGCACATTTGTGTTTATTCAACACCTACAGAGCCCACCTGTGGTTTATACTGCAACTATGCTGAGCAGTCCTTAGTTACAGTTTCTGGGAGAGAGC